CTCACACCAACTGCCCCAGTGACTCCATCCAGCCACCTCATCCTCTGACGTCCCCTTCTTCTTTTGCCATCTATTGTTCCCAGCATTAGGCTCTTCTCTTGTGAGTCCTTCCTTCTCATTAGGTGGCTAAAGGATTTGAGTTTCATCTTCAGTATCTGGCCTTCTGGACCAGTCAGGGTTGATCTCCTCTAGGACTGACTGGTTTGATCATTTTGCAGTCCAAGGGACTTGCAGGAGTCTCCTCCAGCACCACAATTCAAAGGCCTCAATCCTTTGGCGCTCAGCCTTCCTTATGGTCCAGCTTTCACAGCCATACATTGCAACTGGGAAAACCATAGCCTTGACTATACGAACTTTTTTCGTCAGGATGATGTCTCTGCTTTTTAGTATGCTGTCTAGATTTGCCATAGCTTTCCTCCCAGGTTTGTACCCTTAATAGATGCGAAATGAGTTTTGAATTAAATACAGCTTTCGGAAGGCATTCATGAACACAAATCCTTTCTAATGTGTCCTGGTCCAAGTGGGTCTTGAAGTTGGCAATGGTTCTGAAGTTGACAATTCTGCAGAGGAATGAGTCTACATACATAAATAATCACAGCTGGCTGAGTCACAATGAGGACGATAACATGAGATATAAAACTTGAAAAGTTTCAGACTGCAACATAAAAATAATGGCCAGCTATACACTGAATTTTATACTGCACACTATTCTTTGGCGGAATGGTGGGATCCACACTGAATAAATACATCATTTGGGTTTTTAAACAGGGGGTGCAAACCCCATGACCGAATCTTTAGCCTTTTCCCTTTCTCCCGTTACCCCTTTGTATTTTTGCTGCCTACCCTGATGAAGAGTTCTGAGAGTTTGCCATCTTGCACACTTTTGTGGAATGTTGGCTGGTCTTAATAAGCATTCTGCCCAATTGTGGATTATGGGTTGTCATAGAAATGCAGATTTCTAACCAAGTGTAGTTCCTTTATTTTTTTCTTCTTTGTCTTACAGGGAGTCAGTTCTCCCCGCCCGCCACACGACAGCAGAGATGAAGCCCCGGCAGCTGTTCATTGCCATGAAAGATTTTACGGGGGAAACCAGGGTGGGTAGGGAAGTGAAGGTGTCCAGAGGCAGTTTGCTGAGTCAAGAGGAGGCCTGTGAGGGTTCTCCTGATGGGACGTTCTGGGCCAGGGTCCTGGACATAGACAAGGTGGTCCGAGTACCTCCATCAGCAATCCAGGAGCTGAGCAGGGCTCGTTTTGGGCTCCTGGAAGCGGTGACCAATGGAGACGAGCGCCTGGAGCTTTTCCAGCAGGAGCGGTTGATGCACAGGCTCAGTGCCCTCCAGAAGGGGGACCCAGTACGGGTTCAAATCACCTCCGCTTCCGGGCAGAAAGTTCAAGGCATCATCAGATACCGGGGACCCATAGATAAGAGCAAGCATGATACAAGCATCATCTTTGGGGTGGAGCTGGTGGTGAGTTGACGTAATTAATGGACGGCAAAGGGGGGCTTCTGTGTGTTTCTGTTGGTAGGTTTGATTCTGCAGCTAAAGCAAGTTTCTAGTACTCAGTGAGGCTCATTCATTTCTTAGAAGAGAGGGGTCTAATTCTTAGGTATGGTAAAACATGGGAAATGACTCCTTATTCTTGCAATATTTAGCAAAATGCAGTGCTAAATGGGGGGAAAGAAGGAAGACATATACACACCTGTTAGTTCAACCCTTGCATTCCTCACCAAAACTATCTAAATCATTGGAGCAGCAAATCTTGGGACACCATTTGTTTGTTTGTTTGTTTGTTTGTTTGTTTGTGGGACTTCTATGCCGCCCCATTCGCTGAAGCCTCAGGGTGGCTCACAACCATAAATAAATAGAATCCAATAAAACAATATAATTTAACAATATAAATTAACAATATAAATTAAGTCACCCTGGCCAAAGGATAAAATGAATAAATAATATTAACAATTAAAATAACGTTTGAATAAAAAGGTCTTCGCCTGGCACCGAAAAACAAATAACGACGGCGCCAGGCGGACCTCTCTGGGGAGCGCATTCCATAGATTGGGCGCCACCGCAGAGAAAGCCCTCCTCCGAGTACTTATCTTCCTAATTTCCTTAACGGAGGGTTCCTGGAGAAGGGCCTCTCCTGCTGATCTCAAGGGGCAGGCGGGCATATATGGATGTAAGCGCTCCTTCAGGTAACCAGGTAACCATGCTTTTCAGGAAAAGAATCTCAAAATTTTTGAGAGGGTATAAAGGGAAGAAGAATTCAAATGGCTTCCTGTGGGTATATTACCTCTTAGAGCAAGGTTGGCAACTAGTAGCCCTTTAGCTATTTTGGCTTACCATGGGCATCCGCCTTCTGGGGCTAGTGGGTATTGTGGGCCAAAGGAGTATTTGGAGGGCCAGAAGTTACCTGCGTCTGATTTAGAGATATTCACACTTTCTCTTGCATAACAAAAGAAAGATTGTGTAGCTACTTCAGACCTAGTTTCTTGGAAGCTAGCCAGGGGTGAACTGCTAAGGACAGGGGAGACAACCTGGAGCCCTGTTGTCTTGGGTTTTGGGCTATAATTTCCAATGGCCCCCATCAGCACAGGTCGGGTCAGGGATTGTGGGCATTATAGTACAAAGTCTCTTGAGCTAGAAGGTTGGATTAGAACTGGGAATCGCTGATTCGGACTCCTGTGTACTCACCACGCTTACTGGTGTAACCTTGGGCCTATCATGATCTCTCAGCTTTAGCCTGTCTCCCAGGGTTGTTGTAAAGATAACACTGGAGTTGGGGGAGAAGTAAAGGAAGAGGTCTTGTCTCCCCCCTTGCAGGGCTCAGCAGCTGGGAAGGGCTTCACCAATGGTTCCTTCAAAGGGCAGAAGTTCTTCTCTTGCAGTGAGAACTGTGGTGTCTTTGTGCCCGTCAACCGGATTGAGCCGGACGACTCCGCCGAGGGCAGCCCACTGGCTCCAAAAAGCACCATCCGGGAATGCACCAGGATCCAGCTGACATCAGGAGATCCCCTGTTGTCTCCAGAGCTGGAGATTGGGGACCGCGTTTTCTTCAAGATGGATGACAGCACCCCTACAGGCACTGTGTTGTTCTGTGACCACCTTCCCAAGAAACTGGAGGCTGGGGTGTTTGTGGGGATTCGCCTGGTAAGGGGTTCCAACCCTTCTCTCGCTGCTTGTATGCAGGCAGGAAAAACTGGAGAGGGCGAGGTGGAAAACATCAGCCCCTCAGCATCCCTGCAGCTTTCAATCTGATGTGCTCTTTTATACTGGATCCCTTGTTTCAGTCCTGCAGATGAGCACCCCATGGCTCTCCAAATGTGTTGGCCTACCAATCCCATGATCCTTCATCACTAGCTGAGCTGGCAAGGACTGATGGGAGTGGTAGGCCAAAGCATCTGCAAGGCCCTAGTTATCCATCCCAGCCGTAGAGAGGCACCCTTTCCAATAATTTTGAGAAGTGAGCTGTTTTAGGGAACTGGAGGTTATGGGAAGAATCCCTGTCTTTAGAAATGTGTTGCTTGAAATCCAAAGGATGCTCAGATCACACAAGGCTGTTTGGGGGGGGGGGGTCTTAAATTGATTCTGCTCCACTTCCCCTCCACAAAAAATAAGGGCTAGAAACTTAATTTTGTATTTTGCTGGGACATTGAGGAAAACATGCTTTGGAACCCTAACCCTGCTTAATTTACTTACAGGCACCTTTGTTCAGTTCTTGATAGATTCTAGTCCCACTGCTGGAGAAGTAGTCAGTTTTAAGGGCAGGGAGAATTTAGGTGGGAATAATCTGGAGGTGAATAATCTAAAGGTGCAGAAAGAGAAACTGTTGGCTTACTACAATGATGACTTGACCAGATGGAGGGTGGAGCTTTGTAGCAGATAGTGCTACAGGATCAACCCTTTAATATTGACCAGTTTTAGCATACCTGTTGTCCATCTTCTAGGCTCAACAATGCTTCTGGTTACACAATGAGTCAGACTTACAACAAACTTCCCTTGGAATTCTATGCTTTAAATAAGTTTCTAGTCCTTCCTGTTACAATGCCTTGGAAATGTCTGCATATTCTTCTGCTTCCTGGCAAGCAACACCAGCTGTGTCTTTCAAGGTGTCTCTTGTGCACAGTGAAGAGAATTCTCTCCCGAGGTCCCTTCTGTTTTGGAACCAGCTCTTGACCAAGGGATGGGGGTCATCTGGTAGAAGTGGTGGGTCACTGCAAGCCACCGGTTCAACCTTCACTCAGTGCCTCCAACACAGGGATCATAACATGGAGGCTCACAGCTGACCAGCACTGGGAATCCCCAAGCAGGATCCGTCCTGGATTAGCTGTATCATGGCACAGAGCCCTCAGTGGCTGGCCAAAGGTGTTGTCTGTTCTTTATCTGGTGGTCTCTTTGGCTGTAGCAGGGCTAAAAAGAATGATTAAGGACACCGGGTTTCCAGCTGGAGAACTGGCATGTAGGCTTTCCCTTGTGTAACTCAAGGTACCTACTTACAGTTCCTGGGGTACCCCCTCCAAGCTCAGGCCAGCTGCAGACCTGCTTAGCTTCAGAAGGGTGGGTGCCTGATGTGCCTTTAGACCAGACTTTGAGCCATTGCAACCTGCCTGTTCACCTGCCCCAGACAATGGTGGTGGTGCAGAGGAAGACGGCTCAAGCCAGCAACAACGAGAAAGAGGGTGAGGCAAGATGGCAGCTGGTAACACCAGTGGTAGGAAGGGTTGGGAGGGGTCCAGGGGGGTGCCTTGCCCAAAAGCCCTGGGAAGGCCAGAGTTAGCACTGGAAATGTATGATTCCACCCTCCTCACCTCTGGAGGCACCCTAGATGGATTTTAAATCTCAACCTAGGACAAGCCCATTGGTTCCTGGGACGGTTACTTCAAAGGACAACTGCTCTGCAAAATCCCATCTCCAGAATACGGGATGCTCCTGCCGATATCCAAAGTGCATAAAGGTAAGGACCGCAACACCTGTGTGCTGGGGATGCTGGCTAGGTGGGTCTTCCCTCTTTGCTGGTCACAAGTGTATCTTCCGTGGTTTAGGTGCTTCTTCAGGCAGATGAAAAAAACTCAGATTTAGAGGAAAAGGGAAAGTGAATCAGTGATTCCAGGAGAGTGAATGGCCATTTTTCATGTTAAAATAAAATAAGCTGAGCATCTGAATATCTGGATTTTTGTTCTTCTTTATCATAGTATGTAACTGGTCCATGGGTTAGACTGTTACTGAGGCTGTAGTAAGGCAATAATACCCCACATCAGTTTTGGGTTTGGTTTGGTTTTGCATTTTGATACAGACATCAACTCATGCCTGTATATGTTCACGTCAGGGTGTGTGGGGGACCCCGATCTCTGATTAACCTTGCAAAAACCCCATAGTAAAGGAAACCTAAATTTTGACAGATTTACTAGGCTTTGTCCTAGTAAAGTTAACCACATATTCATACAGTTGCTTGGGTTTTCTTGTTTGTCTTTAAAGTTGAGCTTTTCAGAATTGTTTGCTCAGCTGCCCAAATGCTCATTTGCAAGGACTGATGGTGGAATATAGATGTGGCTGGAGAAAGTCTATTTGAATACCTGTATTTTTAGAATATCTGGCATATAGTTTCTCTCTCTTTCTCTAAAAGAACAAGCCGATAGAAGCCCTGAATCTTTAGCCAGCAGTTCCTCCCTGTCTACCTCAGATGACTATGAAGATTGTCCATCCCCCTCGTCCATCAGGTATCCTCCAAGGATGGAAGAGTGTGCCCCCAGGGAGCCCTTAAGCTTGCTTCCATCTGCAGATCTGGAGGACCACAAGAAGAAAAGGAGAGGATCTTTGGAGAAGAAAAAGGAGGAGGAAGAGGAAGAGGAGAATGGTGACTTCACTGATATCCATGGACCATATAGCCATCATCTCTTGGAGATCAATTCCATGGTGGAGGTCAACAACCCACCAATCTACGGGGTGATCCGCTGGATCGGGGAGCTACCTGATGTGGATGAGACCATTGCAGGACTGGAGTTGGTGAGAATCAGGGGGTGGGTGATCTGACTTATGCACATGCTCTGTGGCTCAGTCCCTCATTGTGTGTGAAGACATAACAAAATACATACCACAGCTTTCCAGCTGGATGTGTTAGTCCCAGCAGAGGATTCCACACCCCCTAAGATTCAGAAAAGGCTTTTTTGCTTAGGACTACAGAGCTGATGAAAAGTTACATTCCCTACCATTGTTGTGATCCAGTAATTATCAGCCTCTCTTTCCAGTGGATAAGGTTTGTAATTAAAAAAGCAAACAAACAGCCCATCCTTACTTGCTAAATGCAAAGATGCATTTACCATCCTGCCTGCTTGTGCTTTTCGCTGTTTGTTTGGTGAAGTGGCAAAACGACTCCTCTCAAAAGAATTGCATTTGAAGGGACGTAGCTCCAAAGAAAGAACACAATGCTGGCAATGTGGTTTATTCATTGAGAATCCCACTGTGTTTTGGACTCATACATTATCTGGAGCCTTTCCCAGGGTCTAGAAAACAAGATAGTACATTTAGGGCGCAGTCCAGTGGTGATGTGTGTTGGGGTTCAATAACCAGAAGACTTCACCACAAACAACAACTCTCGGTGTTCAGCACCTGTATTAAGTACAGTCCTAAATGTAACAGATAATTGTTAGATTCAATTGCTATGAGAAACCTGTAGGGCCTCGGTGAAGATGAATATCACCAGGTACTGTGAGCTCCTTACCTGAGAAACACTTGGGTCAACAATACAATGGAAAGAAACTTGGGTTTGTTGTAGATCACAAGCTAAATATGAACCAACAATGTGATGCAGCTGCCAAAAGGGCAAATGCGATTTTGGACTGCATTAATGGAAGCATCACTTCCAAAACATGTGAAGTACTAGTTCCACTATACTCAGCACTATTTGGACCTGATATGTCACAGGTAAAATTTATTTTAGTTCTTGTGCGCCAGGCATAGGGTTCACGTACCTTTGTATGCTGGGTTCAATTTTGGCCCAGACATTCCCCCTCTCTTTGTATTGGTAGCTTTATTTATGTCAATTTTCATTCCTAAAACGGCAAAAAAAAACAAAAACAAAAACACAGCAAAACTGAACAGGATGGCAAATTAAAGTAACCAATTGACCATATTTTAGAGCTAATCTGAAATATGCTTAATCTTAACTCTTTAAAACAGCATTTTCTGTGTACAAAGTAATTTGAGATTACCTCTCATGCTTTGTGTCTTGTTTTGGGTGTTTTTATCGTAGAATCTACAGGAAAGCTGAAAAGGCTTCTCCGATTCCAGGGTAGAAGATTTACAAGCTACAGTATTTTGTTGATGTAGGAGTCAGCTCTGTCTTCTATGTTTCCCAGGAGGAGCCGTTACCTTCGGGCTGTACGGATGGGCAGTACAGAGGAGTCTACTACTTCCACTGCCAGCCAAACAAGGCACTCTTTGTCAAACTGCGCCATTGTCGTCCAGACTCTCGCTTTGGCACCCTGCAGAATCCGGAAAATCCCATTTCACGCTGCAACTCCCTGGGTACGGTGCAAACGTGATGGAAGTGAAGAAGGGGAGGCGATGAAAGTTAAAACACTGTTCCAGAGTGATCCTGCAGCCCCCCAAACTCCATTTGGGGTACCATAGGATTCTTTGAATTCCCAGGTCTCCAATATCAGAGCTGGGAATCCGTACTTGGCTCACCTACCTCCTTGCTCTCCTTTGCACCAGGAGCCCAAAGGACCATGCCAGGTGCTTCTTCAAGGTTGGAAAGGGGCATTTCTATTGTCAGGGATGAGATAACAGAAGCCAGGGTGTGACACATCCTATCTCTTCTGCATTCACTTTTCCTCCCCATGAAGCACCCCATCTAGATGGCCAAAAATGGCTGTCTAGCAAAACCACAGGGCCAGACAAGTGTGGGGGCGAAGCTCACTTCCAGCACTCCTGGTCTGCATGGGGCACTCATCCTCTCAGCTTGGGGCTGAAAGTCATCTGGAGAGGACTGAACCCTTGGTTCCTTTAGCTCAGGGGTGTTGAACCTCTTTCAGACCCAGGACCAAAGTGCTGAAAATGCCAGCATTTTTATCTTCCATCTCTTACCCAACAGAACCTTTCATAATGAATGATGGATGGACACAAGCTGGGAAGTGATCAAGGGAAAGCATCTAAGGTCCCCAGACTGGGCAGCTTAGGGCCCTGGGCCTTAGGTTCTCTCACTTCCATACCCCATTCAGTAGTTTCCAAACTGGATCCCAAGAGGAACTGAAGTGTGGCTCGGGTCCTTAGGAGAGACCTTGACAGCCAGTGTGGTGTGTTGGTTACAGTGTTGGACCAGGGACCCAGGAAACTTGGGCCAAGCCCCCACTCAACCCTGAACCACTCACAGACACTCAACCCAACCTACCTCACTGTGAGGCTAAATGGAGCTACGGAACCCACCTTGGGGTTCCTCACATGAGGAGAAAGGTGGGATATGAATGTTATGTAACAATAATGCTTCCAGATCGGCTGCATTTATGGCCATCGGAGCAAGTAGCTACCTTCCAGCTTTGTTGCCACATCTCTGTTAACATGCGAGCAGTGAGATCGTCTGTGATGAATGATCTCCATGGCTCACAAAGCACAGTCTGTCCCCACTGGCCTCACTTCATTTTCCTTCCCCACTCAGATTTCCGTGTGTACGCCAGCAGCAGGGTGGAAGAGAACACGCCGCCGCCACCGTTGGGCACCCAGGGCATGGAGCATCTCTCAGGTTGGAAGAAGGGCATCCAGGGACACTGCAATTCCTGCTACTTGGATGCCACACTTTTCTGGTGAGGCTGCAGCTGACATGGCTGAGGACTTCTTGTGTTTGCTTCCCTGCATGGCCATAAAAGGCAAGGGAATCATGACAGGGAATACAGCTGGGAAATTTGCCGTTATCCTGTTACAAGGTAGCTGCACTTCCATCTTTTTGGCTTGTGACCCTTGCCTTGTTCTCAATCACACTCTTGTCTTGTCTTGCCTTGAAACACACTTCTGGTTCCTGGCCTTCTGGTTCTGTGACTAGGACTTTGATATTAGGCGTCTGACCCTGACTCACCTTGGGTCCTGTTGTTCCTGTCTTGTCTCCTGCCACCCACATCCCATCCCTGGACCATCAGACCCCTGCTTTAAAGGCTAACATCTTGGAACTGGAAGCTGTGGCATCCTAGTTGTTAAGGGCCCTGCTTCCTGGGGAAATAGTCCACCCAGTTCAGTCCATGCTCACCTGTGAGCAAAGCAAGTGACCACGGCCTCACTGAGCACATCTGTAAAGTGTTTTGCTACACAGATGCATGGGAAGTGCTTTGGAACAGAAGTTAGCTAAGGATCCTTAATTCTATGGGGTCTGACAGGAAGGCAGCATGGGGACTACAGGATCGGCTTTAGCATCAAAGAGGCCATCATCCCAGTCTGTGTCAGGCACAATTAGAACCCAGCAAATTGACAATAAGCTATTGCTTATTGCTCACCCTACCCAGTTTGGATCTAATTCACTCCCATCTCTAAACCCTCCACACACAAAAGTCTGCATAAAAGTCTTCATAAATGCAGGGAGAAAAACTGGTCGCCCCCTCTTCTAGGGGGCATCACCCCTCCATTGATAGTGCAGGTAAATGTATCTTTTTCTGGTCCAAACAGCAAACATTCTTCTCTTATCATACTCTTTCTACTTGTAGTATGTTTACTTTCACCTCTGTGTTGGATTCAATGTTGCTCCGGCCTGCAGATGAGAATGATGGGGAATGTTACATCGAGACACGGGACCTGCTGCGGACAGAGATTGTCAACCCGTTGCGCAAGTAAGCTCATCTTATCCCATCCCAGGCTTACTATTTTTCCTGTTTTTCTGAATTAGTCCTATGAAGCAGGAGCAGCTCATTGCATAAGATCACTACCACTTTAACACTATGTGGCTAATTCACTTTGACCAGGTAATAATATTAGGGACACATGAGGGCAATGGTAAGTGCTAGAAATCTATTTGAAACAAGAAGTTTTTCAATCTCCCTGCATTACTTTGCATTACTGTAATCTTTTATTACCAGGTCTTTTATAAATCAAAAAGACATGTAGAGTTTTTGGCACCTTCCAAATGTTTAATGTTCACTTCTATTTAATTGTGAAAGGAAGCAGGTAAAGCCATTCCATTGCTGAGCTGAAGATAATTAGAAGGAAGCAAAGTTCAGAAGAGCAACACAAATACCTGCCCATTACATTTTGTTAAGGTTCTACGAAGGAATAATATATACGTCCTTTGAGAGACATTGCAGTGTGATTGTGAGTTTGCAGGGCTGTGACTCTGGTAATCCAGTGCTCTAGTGCACACTTAGTTGTGAAACCGCTTGGATGACTTGGTCCATCACGGACTTCCAGTCTGACCAACCTCACAGGGTTGCTGTCAGAACATGAAAAAGAGGAAGAGGAAGATGCTGACAGCTGTCTTTGTTGCCTTGCAAAAGCAAAGAAAATAGCTGCTTCTTCTAAAGATGTATAACATAATAAATGCATCTTTACACCTCCTTTCCCCTCAAAATACTGTTTTTCTCCCAAGGCAGGAGTTTCTTTTCCTTTGAGAGAACATGCGGAGAACATGTTTTTGCAGAGCAAAAGTTGGTGCCACCTTGTGAGGATGCTGTTGGCCTCTGATACCATGTTAAGAAAATGAGTCTTTGTCAGGGTAGCCCTCTTAATTAGGGGCTTTCCGAGCAAGTGACTCAGGTTGGGCAGCTTTCCAAAATGGGTGACTCATCCATGCCATTGTCTCAGAAATAGTAAATGAGTCACCTCTAAACTTCATGGGTCCCTCACACTAAAGAAGCCTCAGCTGTCCTTGCAGGAGTGGGCCTAGGACAGTGATGGCGAACCTTTTAGAGACCGAGTGCCCAAACTGCAACCCCAAACCCAATGACTTATGCAATGGGCCAACACTGCAATAAAACTGAAAACAGCCAGTCCAAGCAAATATATATATAGATTGGACGAGTTGCAGCTAATGAGTTACGGCTCATGATGTCACTGCCTGGAGCAGCTACTCCTTTCCGAGCATGCGCATGGCCCTATGTGTGCTGCTACCCGATGCTGGGCTGCTGGGGTGATACTGGGGCGACATGGCTCACGTGCTGACATAGAGGGGTTTGCGTGCCCACTGTGGCATGTGTGCCATAGGTTCGCCACCACTGGCCTAACCCTACCCTGGTGCAGTCCATGAACCCTAATATAGTGGTAAAATACCACTGAAAGGGACAGTGTTGAAAAAGCCTTCATTAAGTAGCTTTTTCTTCACCGCTCAGCATTTCTGCCCATTCTAAGCACATTCCAACCATCAAAATCATTCCAGGACACCTCGTTTTTCTAACCCTGATGCACACCCCTAACCCTAATATAGGGATAAAGTTCCATTGAAAACAGGTTAGTTTTGAAAAAACCTTCCTGGAGTAGCTTTTTCTTCACAGCTCATCACTTCTGCCCATTCTAAGCATATTCCAACCATCAAAATCATCCCTCATTTTAATAACCCTTACCCAGTGATGGTGAACCTTTTAGAAACTGAACCTTTTAGAAACTGGGTGCCCAAACTGCAATCCAAAACCCAATTTTTTATTGCAAAGTGCCAACACTGGAATAAAACCTGAAAACTGAGGTTTTAATTTAGAAAAAACAACTCACAACCTGTCCAAGCAAATATATATATATATCCTTGGCAGTTCACTGATGGTCCATGTGAAAGCTTGGACTAGTCTTCGCTAATGAGTTGTGGTTCGTGACTTCATCACCTGGCGCCACTACTCCTTTCTGAACATTCTCATGGCCCCTATGTGCAGTGTTATCCAATGCTCGGCTGTTAGGGCGATGCTGAGGCGACTTGGCTTGCATGCCGACAGAGAGTGCTCTGCCTGCCCATTGTGGCACACGTGCCATAAGTTTGCCACCACTGGCCTAGGAGAAGGAGTATGTCAACTGTGAAGTGCCTTTCCTCAAGCTGGAGGATTCTGGGAGTTGTAGTCCACACCTGGATTGTGTCTGGTTGAGGAAGACTGGTTCAGAGTGAACAGAAGTCGTGTGATGACCTGTATTATGCCCATTTCACTCTCATTTGGACAGTTATGCCTAGTTTAATATTACAATTTTTCCAACCTGTGTTATTGCTATTAGATGAGAATTTAGAAGCTTTTTTTTCCCTGAAGGCCAAATTTGATTTTGACATCGTTCTCAGGGGTCACATTCCAGGATGGATGAAACATTGTCCAAACTTTTGCAGAATAGTGTTGGTTGAAGCTCTTACAATCAGGAACAAAGCATTGGAAGAGACATTTCACATTTTTAAAATTATGAAAAATGCGCAAAAGCTAGGGCAGCCCCCAAACAATAAGTAATGGGGGAGGAAAATAGGTGAAATCACGGGATGCGTGGAAATTCCGCAGGATAGGATGTAGCCCCCAGGTTTGAGGTTTCTAGCCCTCTATTAGATTATAAGCCTGTGGGACGGTCTTGTTCTTCCATGTTCTTAGTAAATCTAAGTCACTAAATAAATGAGGATAATTTGATGGCTGTTAGTGAAAGGGGTTCCATAGAATCTTTTTTTCTTTTTTCTTTTTGTTTGGTTTGGTTTTGTTTAGTTGTAAAGTCATGCCTGTCTCATCACGACCCCATGGATAACATTCCTCCACTCTCTCCTGTCCTCCACCATCCTTCAGAGTCCATCTGCGCCCACACCCACTGCCCCAGTGACTCCATCCAGCCACCTCATCCTCTGCTGCCCCCTTCTCCTTTTGCCGTCAATGATTCCCAGCATCAGGCTCTTCTCCTGTGAGTCCTTCCTTCTCATTAGGTGGCCAAAGTATTTGAGTTTCATCTTGTAAAGAGCAGTCAGAGTTGGTTTCCTTTAAGATCAACTGGTTTGGTTATAGAATCATACAAGTGGAAGGGGCCAAGTAGGCCATCCAGTACAACCACTTGCTTGCCTTCCAAAATTAGGTGGATGGGCTTCGGGAGGAATGTAGCCAAGGAGGAAAGCAGCCAAGGTGCTGAAGCATTCTTCTGTGAGGGAAGGTTACAATGTCTTTGTTTTAAAAGGTCTACGAGCCATTATGATGTAGAAGTACGTACAATCACCCATGTTGCTCCAGAGAATGGGGAGCATGTTTTCTCCTTTCGGAGTTGTAGGACCTGGGGTCATCCACTGAAGCTGAACAGTAGAAGAACTTGGACCAAAGTTCTCCACACTGCTTATCATTAAACCCAAGAAGTGTCTTCCTTAATATGTGACCTTTGTTTTTGGGGAAACAGGAATGGCTATGTCTGTGCCACTAAAATCATGGCTCTGCGGAAAGTTCTGGAAACGGCTGGGCATTCTTCAGGATTCACCAGTGAAGAAAAAGGTTTGAAGAATGTATATGGGGTGGCTGAAAATTTTGACCAACTATGAAGAGAATGGAAGATGGAAATAAAATTTGGCCAGCCTGCTAGTGTTGTCCCTTGCCCAGATGGAAAACCAGTGTGGTGTAGTGGCCAAGAGCATGGGAATGGGACGCAGGCTATCTAGTCCCCGCTCAGCCATGGAGCCAAGCAGGTGACTTGGAGCCAGTCACAGACTCTCAGCCCAACCTACCTCACAGGGTTGTTGTTGTGGGGATAAGATGGAGAGCAGCAGGAGGAGAATGATGTGAACTGCCTCGAGTTCCTTGGAAGGAAAAGGCAGGGCTTGAATGTACTAAATTAAATGTATCAAGAGGATTCAATGTCCTTATTTGTAGTGCTGGGTCTAGTCTAGTCCAAATCTAACTAATGGTTTTTTAAAATTATTCATCATGTTTATATGCCCTCTCTCCCCTTCTGGAACTCCAGGTGGCTTCTTGCAGTTCCCTGGGGTCTCCCCTCCAAGCTCAAGCCAGCCCGGGACTTGCTTAGCTTCAGCATGGGGGATGCCTCTTATGCCTTCAGACCATACTCTGGCTGTTGTTTTTGTTACCAGAAGTTTAAACTATGCCATTAATACTGTAATTTAAAGCATATTTGCATGTAGAATTGAGAGCCAACATGGAGTGGTGATGAGAATGTTGCACTGGGGGTCTGGGAGATCCAGATTCTAGTTCCTGCTTGGCCATGCCGCTCACTGGGTGACTTGGACAAGTCTCAGCCTGACCCACCTCACAGTGTGGTTGTGGCGAGGATAAAAATTCACTATTTATTTATTAAATATGTATAAAAGCCACCCGTTAGCTTTATGCTCTCTGGGCAGCCATTACAATAAAAACATCAACAATAACATTAACAATACAGTTAAACGTTATAAAAATAAACAAGATAAACACAATCTAAAGACAAAATATAAATTAATACATGAGATTAAAATTAGAACCAGTGCTGTCAAAATAGATCATTTAAGTAGTGCCACAGGTGTGTCGGAAGGACTACATAAAGAACCTTGGGTTCCTCACAGGAGGAAGGAGGCAGGATCTTAATGCAACATCATTGTCCTCCTCATATTGGGCTGCAATCCAGTGCAGGTTTAGCTGGGCTGAATTCTGAGCTGGAATGTGTCAGGTTGCCCCATCAGGTCTCCATTTCAGTGCTGAGGTCCAACCTGCTTATAGAGTTGTTGTTTCGTTGCAGTCATGCCCAATCTATCATGACCCCATGGACAACATTCCTCCAGGCTCTCCTGTCCTCCACCATCCCTCAGAGTCCACCCAAGCCCACACCCACTGCCCCAGTGACTCCCTCTAGCCACCTTATCCTCTGCCGTCCCCATTTCCTTTTGTCCTCAATCATTCCCAGCACCAGGGTCTTTTCCAGTGAGTCATTCCTTCTCATTAGGTGGCCAAAGTATTTGAGTTTCATCTTCAGTATCTGGCCTTCTAAGGAACAGTCAGGGTTGATTTCTTTAAGATTGACTAGTTTGATCTCTTTGCAGTCCAAGGGACTCTCAGGAGTCTTCTTCGGCATCACAATTCAAAGCCTCAATTCCTACTTACTAGAAATGCCAGATAAGGGTGCGAACCAGAAAGGGATTGTGATGGGCGGAGGAGACTGATATGTTGAATGAAGGGATCGGGGTGCGGAGAGACATAGTCCTCCTTCCTCATATTATACCCTGTCCTTGCTCTCTTCTCCCCACAGACCCGGAGGAATTTCTTACCCTTCTGTTCCAGGTGCTGAAGATGGAGCCGCTCTTCCAGATTCGGTAAATAGGCTTCTGCTTTCATGGAATGGGCTTTCCATGTGGGCAGCATTGTGTGTTAGAGCTATGGTGAAATCAAAGCCTACTGAAATTCTGAGTCCAGTTACATTTTGAGAAAATATCCACCCATGCTGAGTTGGCTGCATTTTGTTTTTTTGTCTCTGCTAGTTTATTGGAGTGGCACAGGACATGAGGGTTTGAATTGACCAGGGGTCGGCAACCTTTAACACTCAAAGAGCCATTTGGACCCTTTTCCCACACAAAAGAAAACACCAGGAGCCGCAAAACCCTTTTGACATCTAAAAGGAAGATAACACTGCATATATCTTTTTTTACCTTAATGCTATGTATATCTTCATTATGATTTAGCTGCAGCTCTTGTTCAGTCACTAAAAACTTAATCTTACATTATAAACTAGTAGGACTCCTTTCATATATTTCAAATAGGAGAACAGCTTCCTGAAGAGTCAAAGTCAGTGCTAAAGGGCTGCATGCATTAAACAGCAAACCCCATAAGTTCATCAGCAGTAAAAGCAAATGAATCTACCCACATATCATTAAACATTTGGTTTTCTTCAGAAACTTTTTTCTTCAATTTATCCATGGTTGGCCTATGGGGGGGGGGCAGGGGATGAGCTCAGTAAATCAGTGTGGCTGATTAGCAGATAAACAGTCAAGTGCTGTGAATTGTGACAGGTCCCAAGTGCAGCTTTTAACATTCAGATGAAGGAGATTACATTGGGACAAAGAGAATCTTTTCAGCAGCATTTTGTGTAACATGAGAGACTGCAGGAAGCTTGTTTAGCAGAGGAATGTAGCAATTTACTTAACTAGCTAGCGTTGAGTTCCTGAATGGAGCTTCGAGCAGATCAGCAGCTGTGCCAGCACATGTTTTGAACGACAGAGCCGCAGCAGAAGGGTTCAAGAGCCACGTGTGGCTCCGGAGCCACGGGTTGCTGACCCCTGCCCAAGACCCTCCACATGGCTTACTTGGCCCCTTTCCTGGAATCTCACCAGGCATCCTCTGTGCATTTTGACATCCACCATGAGAACTAGAAATTTAGAAGGAAAAAGAGGTTACACAAGTGGTGAGCAACTTGTAGCTCTCCAGTTTTTATGGGTCTGCAACTTCCATCATCCCTGAACAGGGCAGATGGATCTTAGAGTCAAATGATGTTTGGATAGCCACCAGTTCTATTTCTGCCCAAAGTGAAAGTTTGTGGGTTTGAGAGAAGTTTTATATTGAGGCTGTATTTGGAAGGGGGGGGGGGAAGCGTTTGTTTCTCTATTAGCACAGCAGGTGTTGAACTCCTTTCAGTCTGAGGACCAAATTCCATCTACAAGAATCTTTCAGGTGCCATATTGCATTGGTAGGACAGAAGACAGAAGGACTGGAGCCAAAAATAGCCATTTAATTTAGCGGAAAGCTCTTCCTGCTAATAATCCTGATATATGGGAGTCATTAGAACCCTTCAGAATTTGGGGGGGAAATCCACAAAAACTGGGAATCACCAAATGATGGATAGTTGTGGGGAAAGGGGCAGGCACAGAAGGTCAGAGTTGGCCTTCAACATGCAGTTGTCCACTTTCCTTCACATTCTTCTCTTGCCCCTCTTTCCTACAGCTTATCATGTGAGCATCTCCTTACCTCCCTGTTTCTCTCTCCTTCCCACCAAGCTCAGCTCACAAGGATCCTCATGGCTGCATCTTTTACCAGATATTTGTTGAAGACCACTCGACCCGAGCAGTGCCCACAGTTCAAGAACTCCTAGAGGGCTCGCTCATCACTGGGGACCTCAAATTCACAGAGGTGAGGCCAGAAACCCACAGGCTTGTTAGGACTGAGCTCTGCCTTTCTGCCTTCCCACCCCCTCACTTCATATATCAAAGGGCCAGCAGGCTTTCCAGCTGCTGACTCCAGTTCCCATCAGCCCCCACTGACATGGTAACAATGGAGAGGATGGGTGTTGTATCCCACCCAGTCTTGCAGAACCACCATTGCTGTATGGTGTGAAAAAAGGTTCTTCTTTTTACGGAGACCTTGGTTGAGCTGTGAGGGGAGGGCCACATATGGTCTCCATCCACATTCTTACCCTTCGTCTGTTTCTGGTGCTTCCTTCCTGGCAGGCCCCCTCCTGCCTCATCCTGCAGATGCCCCGAAACGGAAAAAACTTCAAGGCCTTCCGCACCATTCAGCCCAGCCTGGAACTGGACCTCACTGATCTTCTGGAAGAAAGTAAGGCGATGAAAATTGTTTTTGTTTCTATACCGCAAAGCTGGCTGAGTCACTTGCAATGGTTTGTAAGATGGGTGGTACAGTAAAATCACATAAAATGTCCAAATTACAATGTAAAAGCAAGACAGGTGCTCTAGAGCAAGTGCTTCTCCCCAGATTCATGGCCTTCAGAGGCATTTGAACTGCAACTCCCAGAATTCCCATCCAGCAGGGTCATTGACTGGGAATTCTAGGTTTTCATAGAATCATAGAATAGTAGAGTTGGAAGGGGCCATGAAGGCCATCGGGTCCAACCCCCTGCTGTTGCTGGATACCAATTCACACCATTCCACTCAGATGGCTGTCCAGTTTCTTTTTGAATGTCTCTAGTGTGGGAGAGCCCCCCACCTCGCTGGGCAGCTGGTTCCAACATTGTATTGCTCTGACAGTGAGGAGGCTTTTCCTGATGTCCAGCCTAAACCTGGGTTGTTGCAACTTGAATTGATTATTCCGTGTCCTACACTCTGGCATCAGCAAGAAGAGAGCTTGACCTTCCTCTTTGTGACAGCCTTTGAGGTACTTCTAGAGGGATATCATGTCCCCCCACGCCCAGTCTTCTCAAGGCTGAACATGCCCAGTGCTCTCAGTCCCTCCTCATAGGGCAGTGTGTCCAAACCCTGGATCATTTTTGTTGCCCTTTGCTGAACCCTTTCTAATTTACCTGCATCTTTCCTAAATCTTGGTGCCCAGAACTGGACACAACATTCCAGGTGAGATCTGACTAGTGAGGAGTATAGCGGAACTACTAGTTCTGGTTGTTATAGTCACCCAGAAGACACAAGGCTGGGGAAGTCTTCTCTGGAGCATTTCTGAACTGAAATCAGCCCTCTGCCCGAAAGGGCTTCACCGCCCCTCCTTGAACCCAAGGAAGACCTCACTTCTTTGACTGACCCAGATACATCTGGCTGTTCCATTGCAGCCCTCCGGGAGTGCTGCATTTGTCAAGGACTAGCGGTGACCGAGTGTCCAGATTGCTACAAGGACCCCAACTTTGGACCTCAGCACATCAGGCAGTTCTGCAGGATCTGCTGTCAGCAGGTAAACCTGGGGCATCTCGGAGGAAGGGGTCATGGCAGGCTGCAGCACAGAACGACTGAGTTGGAGGGGGATTGTGGGCCATCCGTTGTAACCCTGCCCAAAGTGGGAAATCACGCTGCAGTGTGGCTCCTCATTCTAACACATTCTTCTCTGGGCCTGCCTCCGCAGGTTCACAAGCACCAGGCGCGACGTGGCCACCATCCCCGTCCTTTGCATTTGCCAGAGGAGCTGTCCTGCTTGGACCCCCTGCCTGAGGTCATCCCCCGCCAGACCATGCAGCTGTTTGGCGTCCTCTGCATTGAGACCAGCCACTATGTGGCATTCACCCGCCATGGCCCAGATGTCCACCAGTGGCTCTTCTTCGACAGCATGGCTGACCGCGAGGGTAAGCTGCCATGTGTTGCCATCTTGGAAGCGGCAGGCAAGCCACTTCCTGTGAGGAACAGGAAGTCTCTCCCTGCCACAAAGAGGGAATTCTGTTCTATCTTTTGAATCTTAGGTATCCCTCCTAAGGCATCTTCTTCTTTTAGTCCAAGTCCTCACCCTCCATTTCATTTAACCTAACCCCTGCCTACCTCACTCTTCTATTTTCCAGGTGGGCTGAATGGTTTCAACATCCCTCGTGTCACGCCCTGCTCCGAGGTGGCAGACTTCTTGGAAATGTCCCCTGAGGAACTCCAGCGCCTGGATCCCAAGTCCTTGCCCACTTACGCCCGTCGTCTGCTCTGTGATGCCTACATGTGCTTCTACCACAGCCCTTCCCTTGGTCTCTACAAATAAGCTTGTGGGTGAAGAATGTGAGATTTCTGGAGGAAGGCACAAATGCTCCAGGGATGTGGCTGGAACTTAGAGCATTTGGGATGGCCCCAGCAAACAAGCCAGAAACATGAGGTCCAACTGTGTGAGGCTGGCTTCTGTTTCTCAGCAGCACCGTTCATCCTGATTGACTCTGAGTAATCTCATCGGTAGAGGCATCCATAGCTGCTGTGTTGGGATCAGCCTGTGCCAATGGCAGAAATTAGCTCAAGGCATGCTGGGTGCCTTTCCCAACCAGTCGTCTCCTTCCCAAGCTTTTGTTTGTTCCTGGTGACTCCTCCTCACTGACACAAAAGCACCAGGCTGCTTTGCATACCTAAAGACAATTCACATTTGTATTTCGGGTGCTCACTCCACACTTGGGTGGGAAACTCCACTTGGCTTGCTTGGCCTGGTGCATGTTCACTGGAGCAGCTTACCCAGAAGGGCATTCTCCTTAGCCCATGAATCTACCCAAAGCCACTTCATTTTCTGACTGTAGGTGAATTGCAATCCATGATCTTTTCGGTGGCGGCACCCGATACTTGCAATTCACTCTCTAATCAAGCCCACCTAGTGCCCACTGCTGCCCTTTCTATCCCAGATGAAAACAGCTTCACACAGGTATTTAAGCCTGCTTGTCACTGTTTTTTGTTTTAGATGGTGTTTGTGGATCTTATTGTTAGGCACTGGGCACAGCTGCAGTGTCAATGAAGATACATCCACTGTAAACTTTTCATATTTGGTTTGCACTGCTTTGAGGGGTGCTGCCCTGGAACCTGAAACCAAAAGGCAACTTACACATTTAAAAAAAAAAAAAAAAAAGATACCCTTTCCTTTTTGAAGTTGAGTGTGTTTTTATTAAAAGCTCCAGAATCAGGACATGCTATTCTAAATGCCTGGATATTTGAAATAGAAACACTATGGTAGAAAATTGAGGAATGCATATGTGTAACTTTTAATATTTTAAGTGTCAACTAATAGGTGATATGATATGCATGATAAAGCACTCCAAAACAAGTAGTATATCCATAATTTTATACATTTTAAAAAGTTAAAATACATATGAGTGCAGATTTTAGAATGTGAAATATTTCACTCTTATACTGACACAAAATAATTTAAATCTATAATTTTAAAAAACCATTCTATAACATTTATAAACTGGATGCACCCCTAGTGGTCATTTGTGATCAATACTAAGAAATAAAATCTGCCGCTAGTAAACAGGGACTTTTGGAGAGCAGGAGGTTTCCAGTGATCCGCTTTCATTGCATGATATTACAGAGCCCATGTTCCAGCCCTAGAGAGGTTGTTGGCTATTGCATACTCTGCATTTGCGAAGAAACCATGTTTTGCAATCCCTTCATGGATCACTACCTTGCCATGGTGAAGGGGCTTGGGTAGCGCAATGAAGCTGTGAGCTATGCCGTGCAATGTATGGCTGTGAAAGTTGGATCATAAAACTGAGCACTGAAGAACTGAGGCCTTTAAATTGTGCTGGAGAAGACTTCTGCAAGTCCCTTGGATGGCAAAGAGATCAAATCAATCCTAAAGGAGATCAACCCTGACTGCTCTTTAGAAGACCAGATGCTGAAGATGAAACTCAAATACTTTGGCTTCCTTATGAGAAGGAAGGACTCACTGGAAAGACCCTGGTGCTGGGAATGATTGCTGGCAAAAGAAGAAGGGAATGGCAGAGGTTGAGGTGGCTAGATGGAGTCACTGGGGTGGTGGGTGTGAGCTTGGGTGTGTTCCAAGGGATGGTGGAGGACAGGAATGCCTGGAATAATGTCCATGGGTCATGATAGGTCAGGCACGACTTTGCAACTATAAAAAACATGTTTTGCAAAGCCCCTGTACATCTCCATATATCCAAAGCATCCTGGATTTATCACTGAGCAAGCAGGATACATATGGATTCCACTCAAATAGTTGTCCATTGAGTGAATGTTGTAGTCTAACTCAAGCTAGATCTCTCAGGTTCAGATCCAGCACCTGAGTTCCCCTCCTGCCATGTTCACATGAGACAGCTGAGCAAGAAGTCAACACTCAACCCTTTTATTCCATGTGAGGTCTTTGCAGCACCCTGCCCACTGCCCGATGGATGTCTTTGTTCCTCAAGGTGTAAATGATGGGATTGAGCAGTGGCGTGACCACAATGTAAAAGACAGCAATATGCTTGTCTCGATCGGAATCTGAGCTTGACTGGGGTCCCATGTAGGCAAAGATGCCAGCGCCATAGAATAATGTGACAACAGCCAAATGGGAGGCACAGGTGGAGAAGGCCTTGCGACGTCCTGTGCTTGACCTCATTTGTAACACTGAGTGAAGAATGAGGCCGTAGGAGGTCAGGATCACTGAGAGGGGACCCACTAGGATTAGCGTGGATGTCACAAAGATGATGGGCTCTGTAAAGCGGGTGCTGGGACATGTGTGCTTTAGCACCACTGGCAGTTCACAGAAGAAGTGGTTGATATGGTTGGAGCCACAGAAGGGGAGGCAAAAGGTGCAGGTCACATTAATCAGCGCGACGAGGAAGCCGCCGGACCAGGAGGCTGAAGCAAGCTGGATCTGGTGCCACCTGCCCATGGCCGCAGCATACATCAAGGGACTGCAGATGGCCAAGTAGCGGTCGTAGGCCATGGCACCTAGCAGTATGCATTCAGTGCAGCCCAGGGATAGGGCAATGTACATCTGGACCATGCAGCGGGTGAAGGAGATGGTTCCATTTCCAGCTAGGAGGTGAGCCAGCATCTGGGGCAAGGTGCTGGTGACATAACAGATCTCCAGGCCTGAGAGGTGAGTCAGGAAGAAGTACATAGGTGTATGAAGATGAGAGTCAGTCAGCACTAGGATGATGATGACCAGGTTACCCAGGATGGTAAGCAAATAGATGGTCAGGAACACAGCGAAGAGCAGAACCTGTGTCTTCCGATGGCTGGTGAGCCCCGCCAAGATGAAGGCTGTGTCTGTGGTGAGGTTCTCAGCTCCCATCCTGGCCTTATCTCCGCAGAAAGAGAGAGAAAGAAAGTGGTATTCTGTGGAATGAGGACTACCTTTTTTGGAAATGTATAAGCTCAGACTTCTATAAGCTCAGACTAAAGTGAGAACCAACCCATTAAAAAAAAACCTAATAGATATTCCAGTGCTCCATGATTTGAATATAGCATTCAGGTGTACCAAGGTATGAGGATTCTCCATCACATGAAGCATAACATTTTGAAGTACAGGTGTGTAAATTGCAGCGCTTGGTCCCTTCTGTTGATGTGGCACCTGGAATTTGGGCACCCTGTTCCTTTGCAGGATGCGGCTGGCTCCTGACAGCCCACCAAACAGCATTACTGAGGATGGTTCTTTCCCTGTATAATTGGGCATCCAAGTTTCATGATCCACATGTGTCTGGTTTCCCAGGGCAGTCTCTGGATTTCAGTGGCTGCAAATGGAGACAACCTCTTCCTCTGTCCCTGTGAGCCCCTCACACTTCTCTGTGTAACTTTGGTTTCCTTCCTTTATGTTGGAGCAATGCTAGGTTCATTTAAATCAAGAACCAGCAACTTGTATCAGCGCAGGAATCAATGGGCATCAACAGTCATTATTCTGCACTTTTGGCTATGCTATTTGCAGGGTGAGAAGCTGTTCTTCTCCCCTCCTGGATACCACTTTTTGTTTAATGGATGTGTGAAATGGAACAACATTTGGCCAGTTTGCTTTAGATTCTACATGAAACCGCTGGAAGAGGTCATCAGGAGGTGTGGGCTGAGGAATCATCCGTACACTGATGATACCCAGCTCTACCTCTCATTTTCAACTAATCCAGGTGAGGCAGTGGCTGTCCTGAACCGGTACCTGGCCGAGGTAATGGGCTGGATTATTATTATTATTATTATTATTATTATTATTATTATTATTATAATAACATTTCTATGAGGGCCAATAAACTGAAGCTCAATCCAACGGAGGTCCTGTTGGTAGGTGGGTCTGGCTTTGGGGTGGGGGACATGGACCTTGTCCTGAATGGGGTTGCGCTCCCTCTTAGGGACAGGATTCGCAGCTTGGGAGTGCTCCTCGACCCAGAGCTGTCGTTAGAAGCTCAGGTGACGGCGGTGGCGAGGAGCACTTTCCTTCAACTTCGGCCGATCCATCAGCTGCGTCCCTACCTGGAGAACAATTGCCTGGCAACAGTGACGCATGCATTGGTAACTTCCCGATTAGACTTCTGTAATGCATTTTACATGGGGCTGCCCTTGAAGACGGTCCGGATACTTCAATTGGTGCAAAACAGAGCTGCCAGGTTGCTGATGGGGACTGGGCATTGTTCTCATATAAGCCCAGTCCTCCGTCAGCTTCACTGGCTTCCCATTGAAGTCCAGGCCCAATTCAAGGTGTTGGTTATTACCTATAAAGCCCTTAATGGCTTGGGACCTGGTTATCTAAAGGAGCGCTTGCATCCATATATGCCCTCCTGACCCCTGAGATCTGCTGCAGAGACCCTTCTCTGGGAACCCTCTGTGAAAGATATTAGGAGGGTGAGTACCTGGAGGAGGGCCTTCTCTGCGGTGATGCCCCACCTATGGAATGTGCTCCCCAGAGAGGTCCGCCTGGCACTGTAGTTATTTGTTTTTTGGCGCCAGGCCAAGACCTTTTTATTTAAAGGTTATTTTGTTAATTGTTGATTATTTATTGGGTTTTTATACTAAGCTGAGATGTCTCCAGTTTTTAAGATTAATTGCGTGTATTTTTCTTTGTTTTGTAAGCCACCCCAAGGCTCTTTGCAAATGGGGCAGCATAGAAATGTTTTACACAAATAAATAAATAAATTCTAGACATAGCAAAGAAATTAGAATTAAGACTGGATTTTATTTTGTGTCTATTAGAATTTGACTCTGCCTAGGAGGATGTGATGGACTTGACACAAATAATGACTTTATATTTAAATATACTATTTACATGTGCAATCATTTAAAGTGATCTACAATGCTTTTCATTATAAAGGTGCCTTCACAAACAGGAAAAAAATTGAGTTATAACAAATCTGGTCTCAGAAGCTCTGTTCACTTCTACCACCAAAAAGAATCTTTTTTTAGAGTTGGAATAAAAGACAGGAATTCTGGTAAAACTTTATTTTATACCCTTAGATCCTATGCCACTCCTTTGTCTAATAAACCATACTTGATATCCATTATGCTACTTATTGGATGTTATATAAGGAGGTTTAACTTCATTTAAGCCCCCTACCTTGAGTGCCTCTTATCTGAAAATGTGATGAATGATGCTCTGATTAATCCCAGTGAAACCCCCAAAGTCCCTGATTTCTCCTTAAGCAACCTGTTCCTCTAACTTGTGTTTGGCAACATACTAAAAAGGTACATGCACTTCAAGCAGTTCTCTTAAATATCTGTTTCCTAAAGTACAAACTAGTTTCTGAAATTTTCCTCTGGCACAAGCTAGGCTTCATTGAGCAAATATTTTACCAGATCTAGTAAATAACGTTTCTCTTAGTTGTACCAAGCTTCACATCTTTGTATACAAAGAATTCACATATGAGAGAGACCTTATACGTGTTCAAAATGTTCAAAAGGCTTCACTGGTAATGCACATCTTAAATCTCATAAAAGAATCCACTCTGCTGAGATGACACCCCAGTGATCATATGGTAGGAAAAGCTGCGAGCATAACTCAACATTTACAGCAAGTAAAAAGCCATGCACAGGAGAGAAACCATTTCAGTGTGCTGCATGAAAAACTTCAGGTCTTTCAATACACACACACACACACACACACACACACACAAATCACATTGGGAAAGAAACAATTTCAGTGCTCAAATTTTGGGAGAAGCTTCATACAGAGGTCTGCCTTTCTTAAATGTAAGAGGATACACAAAATGAGGCAAACATTTCAATTTTCTGGCTGTAAGGAAATAAAGACCTAGTTTCTATGCTCTGTCTTTAAAGAGCCTTTTGCCTTTAAAAAGAGCTCAGTCTCAATGCCTTCTAAGTTTCCAATAAATACAAGCATCTCAAAACAAGCTTCACAAGCCTTGGGTGTTCAGTAACATCATGCAAGTAAGGATCCTTGTTATTCACCTCCTGGTCTCCATGTGTGTTCTTAGAATGACCAAGCTGGCTGCCTAAAGAGATCCTACAATCAAGACCTGTTTTCCCCTGTGGAGGAGGGCAGGACCCGTTCCAACAGAGCAAAGCTCAGGGAACCAAGGTTCGATTTGGATGCCAGGAAGTACTTCCTGACAGTTAGGACCCCAAGGGTATGGAATAGGCTTCCACAGGAGGTGGTTGAAGGGTTAGTGTGTTCATGGATAGTCTGGACATGCACATGGTAGGCATGTCATGAGTGGAGCCAGCTGGAGTCGGGGGTCAGACTAGATGGCCTGGGGAGCCCCTTCTGACTTCCTCTGTTTCTATGATTTGAGAATGTCTGATTTCCATGGAAAGGTTGGACAATCTTCCTGAGCTCTAAGATGCAGATGGCACATTATAGGTATCAATTTATGGACAGGGAACTTCTTTCATCCAGAAGTATTCATCCAGTGATTAAAATAATCCTCATCCTTTACTTAAAGGATATAAAATGGAAAGCATAACAGTATAAGACATGGATGTAGGAAGCTTCCTTAGATAGGGGCCAGATCATTAGCCTATCTTAGTCCAGAACTGTCCAAGAATCAGCATGTGTTTGGTTAGCTGACTGGTTTTCTTTTTCTTTTCAACACAAAAGAAAAGTAGGATCTTGAGAAGACATTGAGAAGAGTGGGAGGCTCACCATCATCCATTCTTTCTTCCTCCATCCCTCAAAGGATTTAAATGAAAACAAAAGAAAAGAAAACAGCTGGGTGGGAAGGCATGGGCCCCTCTCTGAAGAAGGTGATCCTGATCAAGATTGGGAGTGATAGAGTTTACAATGGAAAAAAAAATAAAACAATTAGGACCACCCTAATGTTCTATCTTTCCTTGAGACAATGGCAATTTTTGGCTTTTCCTTTCTACATGCCAGCTTGCCATGACTGGAAGGCTCACTGATTCTGGTGGCATCACAGCTGGTCATGCATCCTTTTCTAGAGTGATAAGGCTCACATCATTTTTGGGAATGGTAGACATTTCCTTGTTTCCTTTCCCCCTGTTCCTTTTTCCTTTGTGTCATATCTTTTGAGATAGTAAATCTGAAAAGAGGAACTGTCTTGCTCTTATTTGTAAGTTGCTTTAGGAACATCTCTAGGTGATAAGTGGAGTGTCTAATTGAAGTTGAAATGAAATGGATGCTTTCCCAAGAACTGTGAAAGGCAAAATTAGTAAATGAGCTCCTCCCAGGTCATTCTTAATTCCAAATGCTGAAGACAATCTTACCTGTGTGATTCACCCAGGTGTTCCTTGTCTTTCTCTTGCTACTGGCTTAAGTAAAAGCACAAAATGGATGGACCAACTCCAGCTAACTTTTCCATACAAGATGATTTTTCAAAATGGCATCAACCTCGTTGGATTCTGAATGGGAAGGCTGCATTCCAGAGGGATCCTCTTTGCACAGTCTTGAAGGGACTACCTAGTGTCTTTTTCTGCTGCTAAGAAAGGGGACAGGACCTACGTATAATTTCCTAGCAGTAAAATAGTAGGTTTGAGCCAAATAGCAACTTTGGATAGAAGTCACGTGGAAGAAAGAAAGGAATAGATCCTGCATATTATGGCTTAGGAGGATTCTGTTTTGCTTTCTATGACTGGAAGCCCCAATTAAAGAGCTCAGGAGCAATGACAACACTTGGATTTTCAGAGGATGTCCTTGCTCCCCAGGCTGGGGAAGAAAGCCTCTTCAGGCTGATGGAACAAATTGGTCCATTCACCTAAGAGTTCTTCTGTTGACCGGCTGCAGATCTGCAAGGTACCTTTGCTGCCGTGTAACTAGAAACACATTTAACAAACTCCTCCATGCATCTTTTACATGGGAAGCTGATGCTCTACTACCCTACCTCTGGTTCCACAATCACC